TACCAGACAGTCAGTCGTCTAGTGTACATCTTATTGTACGCTTTAATTTACACCATGCATCTCTTTCCCAATAATGCCATAGGTATATTGTCCTAATATTAGTATGTCTCTTTTACTTCCTCTTTGACTTCTTATAGCAGAGCTCAATTGATTCCTTAAGAGTAATTAAACTGTTTTACTACTTCCAATCCCTATCCTAATTAGTTATCAATTATTGAGATGTTTAACCTCTTTAGGCTGAACCCAGATAAGTTTTTCCCCTATTCACTATCACTTCTAATTGTCGGTTGTTTTTACTTCAATTGTTGGCTATTTTCTCTTCCTCTCCAATCGATGCTCTCAGCAATGCACCCCTTTCGGATATTCTAGGCACTCTAGAATATTTAGTGTTCACCTGAAGCACAGGTGATCTTCACTTGCTCCTTGATCTTCCTCTGTTTCTTCTTCTCCAATTCTGTGTCTGTCCAGAAACTGACAGTCGATATGGAACATCTGGTCCCCCCTTGGCTGGTACAATTGCCTTTGATATTGTTCAGTTAAAGCTGTAACAGTGATTGTTGATTTGATTCACTCTGATTCTTCATAACCAACACTTCTTTTCTTCTTCTCCACCACCAGTTATAAGTTGTATTTGATAGAGTTTTCTTCGTCCGGTTCTTCTCGTTGTGGACCTATCAGTATTCTTCAAAAGGTTATCTTCTAAGTTCTGTTCTTGAAATATCATCTTCTTACCAGTGGCCTTTCCTTTGGCCTCACTGTATTATTCTTCTCCTTCAATTCTTGAGGTCTTCATCCAGTCGTGTTACTTCTTCCACTTCTCCATTTCTTCTTTGCTCTTGTACCTTCACCTTTCATCAGATATCAAATCTCTAGTATCCATTTCTTCTTTCCTGTCTTGCCACTTCCCTCTGATCACAGAGTCACCTCCACCCATGACCTCTCATCAATCACTCATCTTCATCATCCTCTTCTCCTTCACGTTCCAGACATCTCATTTTCTTCCTTCTGGAGTTTTGAATTCATCTTCATCGTCGTTTCTGCTCGTATTCGTCTTCATCTCTGATGCCATAATCACCATGCTAGATAATCACTGAAAGCTTCCTTCTCGTAAGGTGGGTGTCTTTCTGCTGAATCCATATGTGAGAAAGGTGTACTAACATCTGCCGTTAGTCTTTCTAACACTGCTCTAACCCTACTTTGATTAAAAAATGACTATTTTAATCAATTTCCCCTATATCAAGCCCTTTATATTCCTTTATTGTGAACTATCCTATTTTAGACTATATAAGTTATATAGGCTTCCCCCCTGTAATTCTTAATATAACCCTAACAACTCCAAATAAATCCTGAATAATTAAACCCAATTTTATTCCTATATCCTATGTCACCAACTTATCAATTAGTGTTGAGTATATCTTACCACAACCCATCAACTGCCAGTAAATGCAAGTTAGTCATCTTCAGACTAAAATACCCATAAACAAAGCCTCTAACCCTTCAATACTACAATCCCCATAAACCCCCCTGGCTCTATAGGCCCTTGCACTATAAGCACCTAATTATCTTAAATTTAAAGAATAATGTCAGTCCTTGATTCCCAACCCAACTGTAATTAAACCCCAGTGATACACAGCTTCCAAAATGCAATTTTTAATGAAATAGTATTTGCCAAGCCCATGTAAAATTGTCATAACATCACATATTCTGTTAGGATGATTTTGTGTACTAGCCTGATCCGATCCTCTCGTCTGCCTCGTCACACCTTGTCACGTGACGCACACGTCAGCCCCTTCTCTCTCTCTCGTCTCGCCGTTCCATGTTCCTCTCATATTTCACAAAAACATAGAAACACACACGATTTCAGCAGTTAATGCAATCACTGAGTATTTCCAACCATTCAATATTCATTCGTTCTACATTATTCACTCTAAGACTAAACTCAGAATTAAATAGATCGCTCAAAAACCTTTTTTATTTTAATCCGTTATTTAATTATTTAATTAAAGGTATTATAATCCGCTACCATATATCTAATTTATAAATTCAATAGGTCCCAAAACAAGTTTCATCTTAACCCACTGCCGTTTAAACTTATAAGATTCGTGTTAAAATCTCCTTGTGCCTATTTGTTCCGTCGTCTGTGTTCCTCTGTCTCCCCCTGCAGTTTAATCAATGTGTTGTTTTACAGAAATCCACGCATGCGCAAATATCATTTTAACCTCATGCTTGAGTTTCAGCATCCCATCGTGGTGCCGTCTAGTGCCGTAAAACAAAACGTTCCCTAATCTCGTGCCATAAACTCCCCATCTGTAGGGTAGTGTCGCAAAATTAAACGCATGCGCACATCCATTCAAAAACCCGTTTTCCCCGTGAAAGAATGATTCTCTACTCTCTCTCCCCAAACAGAAAGAATAACAGCCAGCTGTAATTTCCCATTTCCCCCTTATAGTCAAACAACATTTAACAGCGCTCACAAAACATACAACCTGACTTACAGACAGTGACAAGTTTAAGAGACTTTCACCCATCGCAATGGAATCTCTAAGGATATCCGTTAGCATGTAGCACGCAACACAATTAGCATGTAGCATTAGCATTTAGCTTAGCCTAAGGTACACCATGACACAAAACACAGTTAGCATTTAGCCTTAAGCATTAACATTAGCATTTAGCCACGATGTACCACGTGGCCTGAAACAACCCAGCCTTAGCTTCAGCCTCTAGCCAACTGCGGCCTACTAGCTATACAAATGAACACCCCGCATTGCGTCTTTAATTGATTACTGTTTCGTTTGCCCTAAATTTATTCTGCCGTGGGTATGGCTATTCCTATGAGCGATCCCCCCCAATGCAACTATCCCGTCGAACAGAAGTTGAGTAAGCCATCCCCAAGAAATGTCCCACCAACCCCCAGTCCCAGACTGAACCTGAACACTCCTAACGCATGTCCAGGATTTTGGCCCACCCTGTGGTCACCCCGTGTGTCACGAGGGCTTATCTAAACCTGCAATGCTCTAAAATTGTATACATATCTTGGCCCCGACTGTTCTTGACTTACTATTCAAGCAACACTTCTCTATAAACAATTTTTAAAATTTGTATAATGATTAGCCAGACCCCAGTCATCAGCAAAAACACCACCTAAGGCACAGTCATAAGGGTACATTCCTCCAGTGTACACAAGCAGTAACAAAACCAACAACTTAGCTGTGTCTAGTCGGGTCATGACTCCAGACCAAAGTCAGCTTGAGTTAGCTTGACGACTCCAAATGCAGCAAAGAAGGATTGCATCATCCCTCCTGGCAAGCTCGCCATTATGTCGTATATGATGAATGGTGGTCATTATTGCTGTCAACAAAAGGAGTCTGCTCATACTGAACATTGATCATAAAGTTTATTCAGACCACAAGCTTCAGCATGAGTTTACAGACACGCGTGGTCCGGAGAGCAGTGTCCTCCAATTCTAATGTCTGCTCTGTCCTATCTTCTTCGTGTACCCCTATTTATAACCAATGCAACAAGATGGGCTCCCTCTTCTGGCCAGTTTACAATACACTTCCTGTCTATTATATGTTACATTATACTAACATAACCAACATTCCATTTCGTCATGAAAAACATTTAACAAAGGCATAATCTTCAGATACGATAATCACTCTTGAGAATGTTCCTGCATAGCAGGAAATGAAAATGTATAGTGTATTTAGGCTTCTAAAGTTTGCCATTTCCACTTTGAAATTTCAGACTTCATTTGCCCTAATGATCCACCCCTAAATAATGTCCATTCATTATTATCCACATTTCCAGCTACTGCAGCATTAATTTCCTGCTGTAGCAAACTGGCTCAAATTAAGATCCTACATCTGTAAACAAGATTTACATTTTAGTCATTTAGCAGACGCTCTTATCCAGAGCGACCTACAGTTAGTGAGTGCATACATTTTCATACTGGCCCCCCGTGGGAAACGAACCCACAATCCTGTGTTGCAAGTGCCATGCTCTACCAACTGAGCTACAGGGGACTCAGGAGATCAGGATGGTCAAACGAGGCTAATCTCCAATGTTAACTAGAGAAAAAAATTGTCATCAAAGTTATGGTCTCACACCATTTACAACTTAACTGCTCTGTAGTTGTTAGACTAAAAGCTAGAATGTGTTTACAACACTGCACATTGAAGGGGAGACTGAAGTGCTGAGAAAGTTTAAGTTAAACTGGGAACTTCGAAAATAACATGGGGAAATGGGGAGATTTTAATAGCATTTAGGAAATCTATTTTTATCAGTTTTGATGATCTGATGTTGCCAAGAATGTAAACATTTTTTAAACTGAAATATTATATTTAGATTTTGATCTATTTTGATTTCAAATGCATTTTACTTAATAAACTGTATCCAACCGTTATGGAAGGAGGTAGGTATCACACAGATGACAGAATAGATATAAATACAGTATATATTTAGCATTTAGTGGGGGGGACCCCTCCAACACCCCCAAATAAAAATACTAACACAGTAACCAATATTATGGAAAGGCATGTAACAGAAGCCAGGTGTCCATGTGTGATACAGTAGATTAGGGCAGTTTCTAGCATTTTGGGGGCCCAAAGCGAGATTTGCACACCTCGCGGGGAAAACATGGTAGTGTCCTCCTCATGGCGAGGGAGGGAAACATTTGCAGCTTTGAAGTTAATGTCCTGCAATTCTACTCATTTTCTCACGGGGCGGAGAGAACATTGCAGTTATGAAGCTAATTTCCTGCAATTCTACACACTATGCTATGGGGTTGAAAGAAAGAAATTCAGTTTTAAAGCTTATTTCCAGCAGTTCTACACATTTTGCAATGTGATGGTGGCCGCTTATGTCTTTTATGACTAGAAACGGCCCAACAGTAGATGTATTAGATACTTATTCACAGTACCATGTTGTATGATAAATAAAGGACATCCTGCAGAGAATAGTATTTCTGTGAGACATAGCTGTAGAAAGCCAGTGGTGTAGTTTCAGTGTGCCTGCAGAAGACTGTACAACCCATCCGGCTGGGCTGAAGTTGCTGGTCTGTCGGGGATTGAGCTGTATACGTGGTACGCATCAGGCTAGAGAAAAGAAACAGACAGTTTAACTTCAGTCCTTTGAATCTACAATACTGTAAATATAAATGTGTATACTAAGAGGATGTAACATTAATCTGAAACTGAGAGTCGTTCACAATCACCAAACACAATGGTTGATTCTGAACTTACATTGTGGTTTGCAGAATACTTTCCATTCTCATCAACAGGGCCTGTACAACACAGAGGGAGCCTGAGTTAAAGTTTGTGGGTATTTGTGTGTGTGTGTGTGTGTGTGTGTGTGTGTGTGTGTGTGTTTGTGTGTTTTTGTGTGTGTGTGCACGCGTCAGTCTGGATGTGGTTGTACATGTTACTTTACTGTGCTTAATGTCACTTCACACTTCTCCTCCTGATTCAAACCACCCTGTAAACTTATAGCTCGGTTCTCACGCTTTCAAGATGCTCTGATTAACACCTTATTTTATGTTTTACGTGAGTACGGTTGACATTGAGTGACAAAGTGTTATTGTGACGAGGGTCCCAAATTCACGTCCCAGGTCGGGAAGACGGGGACAGAAGACATTCTGTTACAAACTCACCTGAGGGCAAAAACGTGGACGGTACAGAGGTGATGAGAGAATAGATCCCAGCATCCCCTGATTCCAACATGCCTGCACTGCTCACAGCTGCCATCACCAAATCATCTAGAACAGATATTAAATGAAAATGTCATTACAATTTGTATTTGTACATGCATGTGTGTAGTTGTGTTAGTAGTGTGTGCAGTGATGTATATTTTTGGAACATACATTGGCTGTGATCATCCTGTCTGGCTGTAGGTCTATACAAAATACAAATATAAGAAGGTTGTGGTAAGAACATCTCATCATGGACAATACAGAACTAAAGGTTGAGATAGAATCTGCATTATAAAATATTCACAAGGGGAATTCTTACCTCTGAGAATGGTTTTTCTCTGAAAAACAAATTAAGCTAAAATAATGATATTGATTATAGCCTACCCTATAAAATATGACCAAAATGAGTTGATAGATTAACCCATGTTAATGGCACTTACATTAATATGACAAAGGAAAACGTTTTCAAAATATTTGTTATGCAGAATCAGAAGTACTCACTGGTCCTCCTGCAGAGACAGACAGCTGTCAATCCCATCAGGAACACACCCACTCCAGAAGCCATACCCACTGCTGCCTGCCATAATTGCACAGCTGTTTGGTGACATGATGACATCAGGAGAGGTCATTAGCTCTTAATGCCAATGTAAATACTTAAATGGTAGACAGGTGTTAGAAGACCATATTATTATCAGTCTGAGAAAATGTTTCTGTTTTCATATGTGTGAGAAAAGACAGGTAGTCAGCTAAACATTTTCCATTTACATTTGAGTCATTTAGCAGACGCCCTTATCCAGTGCGCCTTACATTAGTGCATTCATCTTAAGATGAAGCTAGGTTAGACAACAACATATCACAATCGTAGCAAGTACATTTTCCCTCAACAAAGTAGTTATCAGCAAAGTTAGTGCTAGTAGGAAAAGACAAGTGCTTTTTTGCCGTGGGATTACTAAATAAGGATACTTACCCCAAACAATTTTTTGACAGTTTGAATTCACATTACTGTCTGTGGAGCTTTGACCTCCTGTGTGTAAATTTGTGATGGGGATTTTTTTTGTACAAAAACCTGGGTTCGATAAACGTAGTCTATTTGTTTCAGTTTTTCTAACTAAATATGACCGACACACCTGATGTAGGAGAAGAAAAATTAGGAGAAGAAAAATTTACATTTTTTTCATATCTAAGAAAGTACAACAATTTAGAGTGAAAGTACACATAGCTATGAATAGGTTTATGAGTAAACCAGTTGGAAATGAAATAGCAAACTAAGCTATACTTACTAGTTGGTCTCACTGTGATGTCAGCGGTCAAAGTAGAAGTAACAGTCGAACCTGCTGGAAAGTAATACAAGTTATTCTGTATCTGATTACACAAGAAGAAAGGTATTCATTATTTCTGAGTCAGTAGAACACAACTGAGTCAGTAGAAAGATTACATGTTCACAATTTCATAATTTGGCATATTATTGTTAAAACCTTGACTGAATGTACAATTGGAAACAATATTTGAACGCCCACCCCAGAAGCCACACCCACTGCTGCCTGCCATAATTGCACCGCTGTTTGGCGACATTGGGAAGGTCATTAGCTTGTATTCCCAGGGTCAATAACACATCTCAAGATTTGATCTAAAGTAAAATTGTGAGGTTGTATGTCTCAGTTGTCTCATTTGTGGGAGAAAAGACATGTAGTCACCTAGAGAAGGATACTTACCCAGAACGCTTTCTGTGGAGCTTTGACCTCCTGGGCACATGCAAGAGAGAGACTGTTTAATAACAGTTAACACACAACACAACTTATTACGCCACTAAACTAAAATCGTGTGGCCACTTTGGGGTATCAGTTGTCAGAGTAGAACTAGTAGTCGAACCTGGTGCAAAGCAAAGTCATTGGATCTGATTATTCAAAAATAAAGGTATCTAAATGGGTTGATTTAATTTATTAAATATCAACCAATTTTTTAAAATTAGGGGACATATGTGAGTAAGAAAACCTGGGTAAGATAAAGCTAGTCTATTTGTTTAGGTTCTATCTACTAACTAGAGAAAGATGACCAACACACCTGATGTAGGATTCACTGCTGTACTGGGGGTCAAAGGAGAGGTCAAACCTGGTGAGATGAGATAACTCGTATTACACAAAAACAAATATAAATTAATGTAATATCTAAGGTCATTCAATAAGCAGAAAGAGAGAAGTACACTACACATTACCTACAAATCAGATGAACAAAAAAAAAATCTAAATCTGGACTGAAAATCACAAGCAGCTATGAATGGGTCAATTCATAAATCGGTTGGAGCTTTAGTGAATTAATGTGACTAAAAATATAGATGTAAGTTAAACTTTGTAGGCCTACTTACTGGTAGTTGGTCTCACTGTGGTGTCTGGGGTCAAAGTAGAAGTAACAGTCGAACCTGCTGGGAAGAATTAAAAGGTACATTTATATCTGATTACACAATAATAAAGGTATTCATTATTCATGTCAGATAACAACAGAACTCAGTCCATAGAGAGATTACATGTTCACACTTTCATAATGTATTACATTATTGTTAAAATCTAGACCCTTGACTGAATGTGCAATTAGAAAAAGTATTTTAATGCCCACTTCAAAAGCCACACCCACTGCAGCCTGCCATAATTGCACAGCTGTTTGGTGACATTGGGAAGTTCATTAGCTTGTATCCCCAGGGTCAATACCAAATCTCAAGATTTGATCTCAGAAAATGGGTTATTACATTTTGAGGTTGCATGTCTCAGTTGTCTTATTTGTGTAAAAAAGACAGGTAGGTAGTTAGAGAAGGACACACACCTGGAACACTTTCTTGACTGTTTGAATACACAACAATGTACAGTGAGGGAAAAAAGTATTTGATCCCCTGCTGATTTTGTACGTTTGCCCACTGACAAAGACATGATCAGTCTATAATTTTAATGGTAGATTTATTTGAACAGTGAGAGACAGAATAACAACAAAAAAATCCAGAAAAACGCATGTGAAAAATGTTATAAATTGATTTGCATTTTAATGAGGGAAATAAGTATTTGACCCCTCTGCAAAACATGACTTAGTACTTGGTGGCAAAACCCTTTTTGGCAATCACAGAGGTCAGACGTTTCTTGTAGTTGGCCACCAGGTTTGCACACATCTCAGGAGCGATTTTGTTCCACTCCTCTTTACAGATCTTCTCCAAGTCATTAAGGTTTCGAGGCTGACGTTTGGCAACTCGAACCTTTAGCTCCCTCCACAGATTTTCTATGGGATTAAGGTCTGGAGACTGGCTAGGCCACTCCAGGAACTTAATCTGCTTCTGCTTAAGCCACTCCTTTATTGCCTTGGCCGTGTGTTTTGGGACATTATCATGCTGGAATGCCCATCCACGACCCATTTTCAATGCCCTGGCTGAGGGAAGGAGGTTCTCACCCAAGATTTGACAGTACATGGCCCCGTCCATCGTCCCTTTGATGCGGTGAAGTTGTCCTGTCCCCTTAGCAGAAAAATACCCCCAAAGCATAATGTTTCCACCTCCATGTTTGACGGTGGGGATGGTGTTCTTGGGGTCATAGGCAGCATTCTTCCTCCTCCAAACACGGCGAGTTGAGTTGATGCCAAAGAGCTTGATTTTGGTCTCATCTGACCACAACACTTTCACCCAGTTCTCCTCTGAATCATTCAGATGTTCATTGGCAAACTTCAGACGGGCCTGTATATGTGCTTTCTTGAGCACGGGGACCTTGCGGGCGCTGCAGGATTTCAGTCCTTCACGGCGTAGTGTGTTACCAATTGTTTTCTTGGTGACTATGGTCCCAGCTGCCTTGAGATCATTGATAAGATCCTCCCGTGTAGTTCTGGGCTGATTCCTCACCGTTCTCATGATCATTGCAACTCCACGAGGTGAAATCTTGCATGGAGCCCCAGGCCGAGGGAGATTGACAGTTCTTTTGTGTTTCTTCCATTTGCGAATAATCGCACCAACTGTTGTCACCTTCTCACCAAGCTGCTTGGCGATGGTATTGTAGCCCATTACAGCCTTGTGTAGGTCTACAATCTTGTCCCTGACATCCTTGAAGAGCTCTTTGGTCTTGGCCATGGTGGAGAGTTTGGAATCTGATTGATTGATTGATTCTGTGGACAGGTGTCTTTTATACAGGTAACAAGCTGAGATTAGGAGCACTCCCTTTAAGAGTGTGCTCCTAATCTCAGCTCGTTACCTGTATAAAAGACACCTGGGAGCCAGAAATCTTTCTGATTGAGAGGGGGTCAAATACTTATTTCCCTCATTAAAATGCAAATCAATTTATAACATTTTTGACAAGCGTTTTTCTGGATTTGTTTGTTGTTATTCTGTCTCTCACTGTTCAAATAAACCTACCATTACAATTATAGACTGATCATTTATTTGTCAGTGGGCAAACGTACCCTTGTAGCTCAGCTGGTAGAGCACGGCGCTTGTAACGCCAAGGTAGTGGGTTCGATCCCCGGGACCACCCATACACAAAAAATTTAAATAAAAAATAAATAAATTAAAAAATTATGCACGCATGACTGTAAGTCGCTTTGGATAAAAGCGTCTGCTAAATGGCATATTATTATTATTATTATTTATTTTTCCCTCACTGTATGTGGAGCTTTGACCTAATGTGCACATGGAAGAGAGATACCTTTTATTAACAATTAACATACTACATAACACTTATTACACACTAAACTAAAATCTAGTGGCCATACTTACCTTTACTTGGAGTGTCAGTGGTCAAAGTAGAACTAACAGCCGAACCTGGTGCAAGGAAAGTCATTATAATTGTACAAAAGTATAATATCTAAATGGGTTGATTTAATTAATCAAGTATCAACCTTTTTTTTTTTGTAATGAGGCAAATTTGTAAGAAAAAAAAATACAAAAAAACTGTAGAACATAAAGCAATTATATTTGTTTCTGATATATATTATCCTCTGTAGCTCAGCTGGTAGAGCACGGCGCTTGTAACGCCAAGGTAGTGGGTTTGATCCCCGGGACCACCCATACACAAAAAAAAATAATGTATGCACGCATGACTGTAAGTCGCTTTGGATAAAAGCGTCTGCTAAATGGCATATTACATTTTTTTATTTACTAGGTAAAGATGACCAACACACCTGATGTAGGATTCAGTGCTGTACTGGGGGTCAAAGAAGAGGTCAAACCTTGTGAGAAGAGAACTCATATTACACAAGAAAGTCATTATTTAAGCAAAAAGAGAGAAGTACACAACACATTACCTAAAAATAAGATGGACTAAAATTACACACATCTGGACTGAAATTTCAAGCAGCTATGAATTGGTCTTTTGGTAAACCGGTCAAGCTTTATTTATTTAATGAGAACAGAAAAATGTAAACTGCAAACTTAGCTACATTTTGTTGGCATTTTGGTAGTTGGTCTCACTGGGGTGTTGGTGGTCAAAGTAGAACTAACAGTCGAATCTGCTGGGAAGCAATACAAGTTAATTGTGTATCTGATTACACAATAATAAAAGTATTCATCATTTTTGTTAGTAAACAACACAACTCAGTCAATAGAAAGATGACACGTTCACAATATCATAATGTGGCACATTATTGTTAAAACCCAGACCTTTGACTGAATGTACAATTGGAAACAGTATTTCAAAGACGGTCCCTTAGAGGACCAATACACCTGTTGTAGGACTCACTGTCATGCTGAGGGGCAAAGTAGAACCAGGGCCTTTCTTACTGCTGTAATGAGCATCGCTTTAAAAATAACAGCAGTGCCACAAAGTACATTTAAAGAAAGAAACAAAACAAATGTGTAGCCTACCTGCTGGAAAGGGTATAGTTGTTGGATCACTAATGTGAACTCCCACCAGATCTAAAAAAAATTTTTGGATTGAAATGTGGTATTTAGTTTGTGGGTCAGAATGAATATAGTAATACTAAGAAGATGCTAAAATCAAAGTGAGTCAGATCATGAAGACCTGCAGCCCTGATAGATTTGTTTAGATAATGACTCACCCTCAAAGCTTTTCCCATCACTGCGTGGAGAGAGAGAGTTAGGTCCTGAGCTCACTCTGTAGTCACAGCTCACCTCCTTACGCCTCACTGACTGAAGACGACTGACCAGATCACTCTCAGTTACAATGAATGTACAGAACCACTGATTGGAAGCTTTGGTTTTTTCTTTCCAGATCTTTTCTGTGAAGGATGGCTGACTCTCCTCTCCAACATACAGGTTACAGGTGGTGTCAGGACTCACAGATCCAGAAATCAAACAGATGACGTAGAAGTCCCCATTAACATTTACTGTAATGTCTGGTTTTGGATCTGTTAGGAAAGGACAGAGACTCATTTTTGCATTACTCTATTTTAATGTAATGTACACTACCGCTCAAAAGTTTTAGAACACCTGCTCATTCAAGGGTTTTTCTTAATTTCTACTATTTTCTACATTGTAGAATAATAGTGAAGACATCAAAACTATGAAATAACACATGAGAATGCCAAGAGTGTGTAAAGCTGTCATCAAGGCAAAGGGTGGCTATATGAAGAATCTCAAATATAAAATATATTTTGATTTGTTTAACACTTTTTTGGTTACTACAATATTCCATATGTGTTATTTAATAGTTTTGATGTCTTCACTATTATTCTACAATGTGGAAAATAGTAAAAATAAAGAACAATCCTTGAATGAGTAGGTGTTCTAAAACTTTTGACTGGTACTGTATATGTCACAAGTGACACTGACTCTTACTAAACTAGGGCCTACCATTCTCTTTATATTACGTATCAGCATGTTTTATTTGATATAATTCCCATTTATGAGTGCCATTTAATAATGTGTGCTGTGTGTTTACAACTATTGCTTTTCACTTGATTTCTCACGTGTGAAATCAAATTGAATTGCATGGACTATTTTCCCTGGACTAAAGCCACATTGAGACAGCTGTTGCCAATTCTCTATCAACTCCTCCATCCCCAAACGAATTGCTAAACACGCCTCAGTTAAAAGGAACTGGACCAGTGACCTCTCGACCGACTCGCTGCTCCTCTCCGCTGGTCGCCTGCTGTGGGAAAGACACAAATCACAACGCTCTCTATAGCACTACTAAAGGAAAGTGCTTGTTTCAAACGTGTGACTGTGACCCCAATTGTTGGCCAGTACATGCTCTAATTGTATGTTTTGTGTCTCCCACGACTACAGACACTGGGGACACGCCCGACGCTAATGTGATAGGCTAAACCCAACTCTACCACGCAGCTGGGCTGGTGCGGAGCGAGGGACAGTAGGCGACCTGCCGTTGAACACCGAACCAGCCATCGACTACCAGACCAGCCATCGACTACCAGACCAGCCATCGACTACCAGACCAGCCATCGACTACCAGACCAGCCATCGACTACCAGACCAGCCATCGACTACCAGACCAGCCGTCGACTACCAGACCAGCCATCGACTACCAGACCAGCCATCGACTTACGATCCCTGCTCGGGAGGAAGAGCCGAATCCTACTCGGGTAGAGCAGAACGAACCCTGCTCGGGTAGAACCGAACGAACAAACCCTGCTCGGAATGACCCGAATGAACAATGGCCCCCGATCAGGAATCAACTGCTGTGATAGATGGAGGTGTCTCACAGCTCAGCTGAACTGAGTCGCTCTCTCTGATTACTGTAGAACTGACTGTCAGCCTAGGAGGAGGTGGGTCTGTGAGATCAGAAGAATGAAGTGTGCTTCTATGAAAGTTGCATTTAAAAACATTACAGGTAATCCAAACACATTAACAGTATGGAAAATCCATAAATACAATTTCAAGTAAGTCAGTATTTGTTTGTACAGTAAATCCTACAGTAAGTATGTGAAATGAAGACATTATGAAATATGATGTAAGATCTCATTTTCAGAACAAGCGTAATAAATATGAGTCTCGCTCTTTGACTGCAGGCCTCACTGTCAGACTGGGAGGAGGATGGTCTGTGAGATGAGATGGATTATGGAGTGTATCACTTGTCATTTAATTATTAATTCATTTTCAGTCTTTAAGTACTCATAGATATTGTAGTACTTGATATATACGTTTGAAAAATAAAAACAATTAAGTCACTGTTTTTTAGATGATAACAGTGTATCTACAATTATGTAGTTTAGGTTAACAAGATATCTTGATGGTAATATTATTTAGTAAAAATAGTTTCTGTATGCAGAAAAATCTAAAATACGGAAAATAATTCCAGTTGTAAACACTCATAATGACCTTGGTAATGATCTTTGGCTTCGATGTATTGGAAGGTGTCTAGAAATAACAAAATAGGTATTGATCAGGAAAATGTGGCATTCTAAACAAAATAAAGTAACATGAGAGACAGGAACACTTTGCAGAAGTTGGTAAAGTAGAATATACTACAATGGATTCATGGGCATGTTGTCAAGCAGTAGTCATTCTTATCTGAACAAAATATAATGGTAGAGAAAAAGAAATCAATAAGATGATCAATGGAATAAGACACACTTATTACAGCCATGAGATTCAGAAATAATAAAGAGTTCCTAAAGTAAAGATTAAAAGAGGAGAGAGAATCCTGTAGCACAAACAGATGATGGAACTTGGAATGGAGGAATAACTCACCGAAAAGGAGGATGACCAAAAACAGATGACCAGCCATATCAGGGATGAACAATGCCATTTGGCAGACAGCTACAGACTGTTACTATGACTTCACAGAAGATGGTGACTGTGTCAGAGAGGATTCTTTGAATAGAGAAGTAGATGTGGAGCTTGTTCACAGGAAAACCACAAATAGCAGAAACCAGTCTCATTTGGCAAGTGTGGGCTAATGTTGCAGAGGAACATTCAGAATAATTTATCAGTCATTATTTTTGTTGTCTGTAGCTGATATTTTGCATCATTAGATGGCTTCAATTACATTTTCAAAACCAACAAACTAACTTGTCTGAGTTAAATATTTGTTTTTGACTTTTTGGTTTTATGTTTTGACAACTGTATTTGTATTTGTGGTTTAGTTTTATGATCTCTAAAGCCTAGAAACACGCCACTTTTATCACAGCTGGAAATGCTTGACCTGCCCAAGAGTGCAGCTCTGTTCCTGTGAGTGTCTGCGTACAGGATGAGCCTGGAAGATTAAATCACCCCTGTTTATAGATGTAACAGTGAGACACATCGAGAGATGGAGGAGTCTGACAGCTCAGCTTAACTGAGTCTGTATCACTGACGCCTGTATAACTCATTGTCAACTGGGGAGAGTCTGTGAGAATAGGGGAATTAAGCATTTAGCATTTTGTGGTTTTGAGAAGTTTACTGACAGCCTAATCCCTCCTTGTTATTTCAGACAATCTCGGTTAACCCGGAATTTAAGTGTTTCGTAATTGGTCAGATGCTTGATTACGTTCTGTGTCCATATGTGTTAAGAGGGGAGAACAGAATGAGGATCGGAACCGGAACGAAGAGCTCCACCCTTTGTCTTTGCAAGTTACAGGCAAGTGTATGGGCCAAATGTCCCCTAACCTTTTTCTACTTACCCAGAGTCAGATGAACTTATGGATACCATTTTTATGTCTATGCGTGCAGTTTGAAGTAAGTTGCTAACTAGCATTAGCGTAATTGCTAACTAGCGTTAGCACTAGCAATCGCTTGCAAAACTACCTTCAACTTCCTTTAAACTCTGAAATGGTTTCCATGAGATCATCTGACTCTGGCTAACTAGACAAAGGGATTAATTGCCAAAATCTCTCACTTTCCCTTTAAGGATCTTGGGTACATTACCTCATGTAGCGACAGTATGGGAAATTAAGGAGATACTATATTCCTTTTTTGCTTAATGTAATAGCTTATGACAACAAACAGTATGATAACATATCCCAAGAGGAACATGGTAATGATGGCACAACAGTACATTGTTTACAACCATTCAAAAATCTTCTTACCCTGAATTGTGACTCTGGAAGGCTTACTGTATATGAATATAAACTGATAACCTGTAGCATTGTACTGACATCGTATTTTGACCTCAGCTGGTGAACTTTGACCTGTTCATGTCACCAGTAGAGTTCCTGTGAGTGTCTGCTGACAGGTTAAGGTAAGGGTATATTCCTCTCTGCCTTTTAAGTAAAAATAACTCTGAGCTTCAGAGATGGATGGAGGAGTCTGACAGCTCAGCTGAACGGTGTCTCTCTCTTTGATGACTGTAGAACTCAATGTCAGACTGGGCTGTGGAACGTCTGTGAGATGAAGAGGGTGGATGAAGAGTGAGGTCAGAGGGATGGAGCGTGACACTTTGGGCTGGTTTCTGAGACACATTAAGCTTAGTCCTAGATTTAAATACACTTTCAATGACGAATCTCCATTGAAAAATATATTTAAACCATGGATTAGGCTTAAGGAAGCCGGCTCATAATGTAATACATTTTAAACTGTTTAGGTACTCATTTGAATAAACAATATTCAATTATACACAACTATTTATCTTCTGATCTTCTCTTCTACTTAACTTTGATGGAATGACGATACTGACCTTGTGCTTTGATGAATTGGAAGGTGTCTAGAAATAACAAAACAGGGCACTATGCAAATGAGCCATTCTAAGAAGAGGAAATGTAAAACATGGGGGGATATCATTCTTGAGAATTTTTTTTTTACATCTGTATCGATTGGCATCAGTCAAAGTGTTAGTAACTACCCACTGGCCAAAAAATGGTTAAATGAACGTTGTTTCCACGTCAATTCAACCAAAACATTCAATGTGATGACGTTGAATCAATGTGGAAAACTGATTGGATTAGAAAATAGTCATCAACGTAAGGGAATTTCATATTTTTTACACCCAACTTTTAACCGAAATCCAATGACATTTGTGACATTTTTTGTTGTTTTCACGTAGAATTCACATTAGTTGACGATTCAACCAAATGTAAATCGAAACTAGACGTTGAACTGACGTCTGTGCCCAGTTGGTATTCACACAAATTTGTGACAAAATCAATTCAGATCAGACTTATTAGAATTTATCTCATACCTAGTATGAACAATGGCAATACCTTCCTAATATTGAGTTGCACCCCTCCGTTCTGAACACAGATCAGCCTAAATTCATTGGGGCATGGACTCTACAAGGTGTCGGAAGCCTTCCACAGGGACGCTGGCCCATGTTGACTCCAATGCTTCCCACAGTTGTGTCAAGTTGGCTGGATGTCCTTTGGGTGGTGGACCATTCTTGATACACACGGGAAACTGTTGAGTGTGAAAAATCCAGCAGCGTTGCAGTTCTTGACACTAACCTGTGCGCCTGGCACCTACTACTATAACCTGTTCAAAGGCAATTCAATTCATGTTTCAATTGTCTCAATGCTTAAAAAATCCTTCTTTAACCTGTCTCCTCCCCTTCATCTACACTGAATTAAGTGTATTTAACAAGTGACATCAATAAGGGATCATAGCTTTCACCTGGTCAGTCTATGTCATGGAAAGAGCAGGTGTTCTTAATGTTTTGTACACTCAGTGTACAAAATTTACATGAGCAGTGTAGGCTCCTCAGATGAGGAAGTAGTGAATAGTGAAACATTAAAAAGTTATAATTTTAAGATAAAACTATACTAAATATATTCACATCAACAAATAATCAGTGGTGGAAAAAGTACCCAATTGTCATACTTTAGTAAAAGTAAAGATACCTTAATAGAGAATTAATCAAGTAAAAGTGAAAGTCACCCAGTAAAATACGACTTGAGTAAAAGTCTAAAAGTATTTGGTTTTAAATATACTTAAGTATCAAATTTAGTTTGTAAAATATACTTAAGTATTAAAAGTAAAACTATAAATAATTTCAAATTCCTTATATTAAGCAAACTAGACGGCACCATTTTCTTTTTTTTTTTAATTTACGGATTCCTAGGGGCACACTCCAACACTCAGACAAAATGTACAAACGAAGCGTGTGTGTTAAGTGAGTCCGCCAGATCAAAGGCAGTAGGGATGACCAGGGATGTTCTATTGATAAGTGTGTGAATTGGACCATTTTCCTGTCCTGCTAAGCATTCAAAATTTAAGAAGTACTTTTGGGTGACAGGGAAAATGTATGGAGTAAAAAGTACATTATTTTCTTTAGGAATGTAGTGAAGTAAAAGTAAACATTGTCAAAAATAGAAATAGTAAAGTAAATTACAGATACCCCCCAAAACTACTTAAGTAGTACTTTAAAGTATTTTTACTTAAGTACTTTACACCAATGCAAATAATTAATTAAAACACACTGTTTTGCAATGGTCTACAGTAGCCTCAACAGCACTCTGTAGGGTAGCACCATGATGTAGCCTGAGGACAGCTAGTTTCCATCCTCCTATGACTTCAATGCAAAACCTAGGAGGCTCATGGTTCTAACTCATTTCCATAAACACATACAGTAATTATGACAACTTCCGGAGGACGTCCTCCAACCTATCAGAGATCTTGCAGCATGAACTTACACATTGTTCACCCAATCAAAGGATCAGAGAATGAATCTTGTACTGAAGGCATAAACTACAGCTAGCTAGCACTGCAGCGCATAAATGTGGTGAGTAGTTGACTCAGAGCGAGAAAGACAATAGTTCAACAGTTTTGAACAAATAAATGTCTTAAAAATTAAGGAGAAGCGAGAGAAAGAGAGAGAGAAAGAGCAATATTTTGTAGTATGTGTTTTTCACTTTCACTTACTTAGCTAGTGAATGCTGCTAGCAAGTTTAGCCTGCTCAAACAGAGGGATGCTATGTTAGCAAGCTGGCTATGGCTATCCAACACTAGAACTCTTCCAAGTCAAGGTAAGCTTTTGGTTTTATTAATTTATTCCCACTGGGGCCGGCGGTGTAACTGCTAAACTGCTTAATGCTGACTGTACACTGTACTGCATGGTTTACTAACACGTTAGTTCTAGTAGCTATGTTGACTATGACGTTAATATGGTGACAATGATGTAGGCTGTGTGTAGCAGTCAGCGGTTATAATATGAAGGTTTGGCATGGAACGTTTTTTTTGCCTGGTCACAGAAAGCTGATGTGTTGTGCAAGGAGGAGAGCGTGTATATGCGAGAAGGAATACAACGATCATAGGGATCATCCTGTTTGTATGTGGCTGCTATGAAAGTGAACTGTGTTTGCGTGTGATCAGGGGTGTATTCATTCCACCGATTTGTTGAAAAAACTTTTCTTAAACGGAAGCAAACGGAACAAAACGGGGATTTACATACCTGAATTTGTCCAATAGAAACAATTGTTTGCAACTGTTGGACTAATGATTACACCTTAGATCAGCTTGTTGCAGGCAAGAGTGTGCACGGTGGTATTAAATGTGTCAATGTCTGTCACCTTAATTACTCAAATTTAAAGTATCATGTACTAACTTAAACCTATCTATGTTACATTGAGCTGGGTGAATGGAATATGAATGACAGTCATCCAATAATCGTCCTACCTCATCTTAAACGGCACCAACCGCCACTCTACATGAGATATGATCAAATTGAACAATTAGACACTCAATAGCAGTGTTATAGCTGTATACAGCCTAGTATAATGGCACGGGAGGAGATGGCTGCCGTTTTACAGGCTCCTAACCAATTGTGCTATTGTGTGTGTTTTTTCGCATTATTTGTAACATAATTTGAACATAATGTTTCTGCCAACATCTCTTATGACCGAAAAGAGCTTACTCACCTCGCAGTGGACGAAAAACATTTATTTAACGAGTCGGAAGTGAAGGATTTACTTCAGACACCCGACAAGGCTCAATTCCTCGTCATTCGCATGAAGAAGAGACGGAGATATCGCGGACGTATAGTGGGGAAAAAAAGTATTTAGTCAGCCACCAATTGTGCAAGTTCTCCCACTTAAAAAGATGAGAGAGGCCTGTAATTTTCATCATAGGTACACGTCAACTATGACAGACAAATTGAGAATTTTTTTGCCAGAAAATCACATTGTAGGATTTTTAATGAATTTATTTGCAGATTATGGTGGAAAATAAGTATTTGGTCAATAACAAAAGTTTCTCAATACTTTGTTATATACCCTTTGTTGGCAATAACACAGGTCAAACGTTTTCTGTAAGTCTTCACAAGGTTTTCACACACTGTTGTTGGTATTTGGGCCCATTCCTCCATGCAGATCTCCTCTAGAGCAGTGATGTTTTGGGGCTGTCGCTGGGCAACACAGACTTTCAACTCCCTCCAAAGATTTTCTATGGGGTTGAGATCTGGAGACTGGCTAGGCCACACCAGGACCTTGAAATGCTTCTTACGAAGCCACTCCTTCGTTGCCCGGGCGGTGTGTTTGGGATCATTGTCATGCTGAAAGACCCAGCCACGTTTCATCTTCAATGCCCTTGCTGATGGAAGGAGGTTTTCACTCAAAATCTCACGATACATGGCCCCATTCATTCTTTACTTTACAAGGATCAGTCGTCCTGGTCCCTTTGCAGAAAAACAGCCCCAAAGCATGATGTTTCCACCCCCATGCTTCACAGTAGGTATGGTGTTCTTTGGATGCAACTCAGCATTCTTTGTCCTCCAAACACAACAAGTTGAGTTTTTACCAAAAAGTTATATTTTGGTTTCATCTGACCATATGACATTCTCCCAATCCTCTTCTGGATCATCCAAATGCACTCTAGCAAACTTCAGACGGGCCTGGACATGTACTGGCTTAAGCAGGGCGACACGTCTGGCACTGCAGGATTTGAGTCCCTGGCGGCGTAGTGTGTTACTGATGGTAGGCTTTGTTACTTTGGTCCCAGCTCTCTGCAGGTCATTCACTAGGTCCCCCCGTGTGGTTCTGGGATTTTTGCTCACCGTTCTTGTGATCATTTTGACCCCACGGGGTGAGATCTTGCGTGGAGCCCCAGATCGAGGGAGATTATCAGTGGTCTTGAATGTCTTCCATTTCCTAATAATTGCTCCCACAGTTGATTTCTTCAAACCAAGCTGCTTACCTATTGCAGATTCAGTCTTCCCAGCCTGGTGCAGGTCTACAATTTTGTTTCTGGTGTCCTTTGACAGCTCTTTGGTCTTGGCCATAGTGGAGTTTGGAGTGTGACTGTTTGAGGTTGTGGACAGGTGTCTTTTATACTGATAACAAGTTCAAACAGGTGCCATTAATACAGGTAACGAGTGGAGGACAGAGGAGCCTCTTAAAGAAGAAGTTACAGGTCTGTGAGAGCCAGAAATCTTGCTTGTTTGTAGGTGACCAAATACTTATTTTCCACCATAATTTGCAAATAAATTCATTAAAAATCCTACAACGTGATTTTCTGGAGAAAAAAATTCTCAATTT